TGAAAAGAATGAAGTGAGCGCTTGATCTTCATAGTGTCACGCAAAGTTAGTTAAACCTCTGGGAAATTCATCTGTCTAGGTAGGAAGCATGAACCACTGTGAATCTATTTCACCTGCTTGGATTCAAACTCAAGTGAGAATATGTGTCCTGGAGAGTCAAAAACAAGGCAACAACCCCACAAAGGGAATGATTTTGCACCTTGTGGCCACAGAGGAGTGCTGTTTCCTTATATGCTGACTGATTTTTCTCCAGTTTTGCTTTTCCTGGTGTCTTTGTCACCATGTGATGGTATCTGCAGCGCACTTAGCTTGCACACACAGTCTGGCTCCTCTAGGATGGCACATGCACATCAGGTTTGCTGTGTCAAGTTCAAGATTCAAGAGCTTTATTGTCCGAAATGCTGTTTCACCCCAAGCCTCCCTATGGTGCATTTATAAGTATATAAAAGATATAGCTCCAAGATATATAAAACTAGAATTTAAAAATAAATAACATGCTAGATTTTTGTAAAATTAAGGGATAAAGGGGTACTAATTACTAACTAACAATACTATAATTATAACTATACAATACTAACTGTACAATAGTTTACAGGAGGTAGCAGGAGAGGGTTGTTATATGAGGAGAACTGGGCAGGCATCAACCCAGTAGACAAGCCAGCATCTGCTCTTTTGATCAAGAAAGAACATGAGGAGCAGTGTAGAATGACCTTCAGTGATTTCACTTCACTCATTTGCGTGTTTCTGATCAGACTCTCAGGAACTGACTCCATGAGGGTGGCACGAGGGCCAGATGGTATGAAAGAGGCTTGGCGAACGTTATGCTGCTTGCAGCATCAACCAGCATGACCAGTTTGGCAGTGGGTTAGTGATGGTCTGGAGAGCCATATCTTTGGTGGACCTGTTGCCAATTTAATTTGCAACCAAGCAGTTGAAATTGTTTCACAGCAGTTTATGCTTCTAACTAGACAAGCTGATGTCCCAGAAATTTAACAGACTTTGCATTTCTTTTTTTTTTTTTGAGCAATATATTTTTGTTAGTGAGGCCCTTAAAAACATTGAAGCTAGTCTATAAGAAGTGATTCTAATTCTGCAAGCCTGATCTCTTCAGGCAAGTGATTCCAAATCTGAGACATGACAATAAAAGCTACCACACATTTTTTGGTACTTATGTGTAGCACCAGAACCTTTGAATGAATTGCAAGATTGTTACTTATTTGTATTGTTTGGGGTTTTTTGGCTTTCCACTCGCTTTCTCTCAAATTATTTTTCTGCTGTTTTCTAGTTTTAATTTTTAACGCAGCTCTGCTTCTGCTCCACACAGGAATCTCTTATATTGCTCCACACCTGAACAACTTGTATTTCCTGACACTGTGCCAGCGTTACGGGGTTTACCAGGTTATCCGCTGGCTATTTATGCTCAAACTGGGACTTAGTGTGGCTATGCTGCTAGCAGGGGCTGACCACATTTATCTGCTGTGTGTCTTCATTGCTAGGTATGGCCGTGCACACACATCTGCACACGCTTCATGGATGTGTGGCAGTTTGGCTGGTTCTTTTTGTGCTTGTTTTTAACGGTTTATCATTTTCAAAGCTGCATACACAAACCCAGAATTCCTTTGTGCATGCCATTTGCAGAGACCCTTTTTTTAGGGGGGTTATAAATGCTGTCTCTAGAAATTAGCCACAATTCTGAAATTGGTCTACTCTTAACTGTAATTGTAATATTTGTGTTATCTGTATAGTCCCATATACACATATAACATTTTAAAGCCACAAGCGATTGATTTTCATGCGGTTTTTAGACTATTAGTGGTCTTGCTGTTCTTATAGCTATCAACAGCATTTGAGTGCTTTCATAGCTCATTGATAATTTTAGTCACAGCTGTGGTAAAGTGGTTAAACTTGTGGGTGAAGCTCACTAAAACTTTCCAGCTAAAAGCGACGAAGTTGTTACTGTATTTCATACTCGGACACACCTTAGCATGCTCTGACTGCTCTGAACAAAGGCTTTTTGCATGATAACCTGTATTACAGCTGATGTTTCCACGCTGTAACATTACGTCTCCATTTTCTAGTAACCGCGTGTTCACCGAGGGGACATGCAAACTCCTGAAACTGGTGATTTCTGATCTGGTGGATGAGGACTTTGTGGTAAACCGACGTCAGCAAGCCGCCTCTGCTCTCGTCTTCGGCATGGTTGCCTTGATGACCAAACCCGGGCAGACATTCGCCCCACTCATTGGCACATGGCTGCTCTGTGTTTACACAGGTACAAACAGAAACTCTCAGCCTTGGACCTCATGAGGACACAGGTTTTTCCA